CTTCCCCACAGCTTTTGTGAAAATTGCTGCCAAATCATAGAATCATAAAATCATAGGGTTGAAAGGGACCTTGGAGGTCTTCTAGTCCAACCCCCTGCCTAAGGCAGGATTCCTCATATTATCTCAGACAAATGATTGTCCAATCTTTTCTTGAAAACCTCCAGTGATGGAGCACCCACAACTCCTGGAGGCAAGCTGTTCCACTGCTAAATAGCTCTCACTGTCAGGAAATTCCTCCTTATTTCCAGGTTGGATCTCTCTCTCACAAGCTTCCACCTATTGCTTCTTGTCCTACCATTAGGTGCCATGGAGAATAAATCGACACCCTCTTCCCTGTGGCAGCCCTTCAAATATTGGAAAACTGCTAGCATGTCTCTCCTCAGTCTTCTCATCGTTAAGCTAAGCATATCTAGTTCCTTTAGCTGTTCTTCACAGGATTTAGCCTCTAGACCCCTTATCATTATCATCGTAGGATTTAGCTTCCAGACCCCTTATCATAATTTTTAATGTAACAGAAGGGGAAAATGAAATGCATGGAGAGTAATCATATTAAGTGTGTTTAATTAACTGAATTAAATCAAATTAAATATTATTTTCCCTAATTTCAAACCCTTGTTATATTGTAACATGCCTTGGCATACCTTTGGCCAAAACAGATTGCATACTTTTAAGAGATAATTGGCATTCATTGTTGCTATTGTCCATCTTGAGACCTGAGCAACACATGCAAAATAAACACCTCTTCTTCCATAGTAGTATTTTGAAGAGGTAGTGAAGGGGATGATGGACACAGAAATTTACTGGTATTTCCGGAACAATTTTTTGGTCCAGGGTGTGAATTACTAAATGCATTTTTGTCATTTCATTTTGCTTGCAGACATTAAAGACATAGTTAAAAGAAAAGCACATATATTCTAGTGCCATTTCTGTCTCCTTTTTATAGAATGTCTTGTGATTGTGATTAAGACTATAATGTAATCACATTTGGTATTTGGAGTCGCTGGCTTTGGAAGCTTTAACTGAGTTGAGTAGTTAATGGAACAACCAACATGCTCAATTTTGGTACAATGTTTGTATTTATAGAATAACATGTACTACAGCTGCAGTTTCCAGTGAGTATTTGAGTAGAGTATTTAACTGAGTTGAGTAGTTAATGGAACAACCAACATGCTCAATTTTGGTACAATGTTTGTATTTATAGAATAACATGTACTACAGCTGCAGTTTCCAGTGAGTATTTGAGTAGAGTAACAAGACAAAAT